AGGCTGGGCCTCTGTGGAGATCCCTCCTCTGAGTCTGTGCACCAGCGCGGGAAGGGGCGGCCGAGGTGCAGAGCTCTTCCCCAGAGACAGGAAGAGCTGCACGGTGGCAGTGTTCACTGTGCCAAGAGGGCCCCACCTGGAGCTGAGTGGAGGCCGCGTGGGGGCTTGGTGGGGGCCCTGGCGTGGAGTGTGGCTGGCTGAGTACCTCCTCTGGGTGCTGGGGTCCCTGTGAGCCGCGGCCACCTCCAGTGGGTGCCTTTATCCCCAAGGCCCGCAGTGCCCTGCTGGGCGGCGGTGAACAGGGAGGCCTTTGAGGGAGGCGGGTCTCAGTGGACTGGTCTGTGCCCACGTGGCCCAGCCGGGCTGTGCCTGGTGGTGCTGGGTGGACGGGAGCTTTGAGCTGCAGCCTGGAGGATGGGGCCCTGGCCTGCAGTGAGATGCCCAGCAGGGCAGGGGGCTGTGGGCATCGAGGCATGGCTGCCAGTCTCCAGGCTGGAGAGCCAGGCTGGGCCCCGCCCCGCCCCCCCCAGCTGCAGGGGACTCGGGAAGTCCTGGCCCAGCAGCCAGCCCCTTCCTGGACCTGTTGTCGACTCCGGAAACAGTGGGGCAGGGGCACAGCCCAGAGTGCTTTGTCTGGGAAGGGAAAGGATGAGACAGAGGGGCGGCGACCACGGGCTCCACGCTCGCGAGGGTTGGGGAACCCGGGTCCCAGAGCCACTTGCAGATGGGGCCTCTGGTCCTGCTGGGCCCTGGACACGGGTGCCAGGGTCGCCTTTGTAGACAGGCGGCAGTGGGCTCAGAGAGGCTCTGACGCAGTGGGGTCTGGGCCCCCAGAGCTGGTGCAGGACCCCTGCCCACACTGGGGCAGAGTGGGCTGTGCCTGTCCTGTTCCCTGAACGGGGCTGGGCACCCTGGGTCGGGAGAAGACGTCTTTCCTGCCTCTGAGGACGGAGTGGCCTCCTGCGTGGGAGAAAATGGAAGGATTACTTACAGCAGCTCAGCGACCTCAGCAACGAAATGAGAAATGAAAAGTCATCATTTCTAAGTAGGGAGGCTCCCGAAAACCCTCGGCGTGATGGGTGGGTTTGCGTGGTGCTAAATTGAATCAAATTAAGAAAAACATTTTTCCAGATGCAAGTAAAATATCTGTTTAATTAGACCATAAAGGAGAAATTAAAAGTCATATTTTGCAGTGGAGTAATTACCGTCTTTCTGAAGGCACTGGTTTTGGAGGGTGTGGAGCAGCCTCGTGCTGGGGCTTTTGGGGTTCAAGTCCTGAGAGTGGGGAGTGGCCTGGGGTGCCCTGAGGAGGGCCGGGATGGCGACCTGGCCTCCAAAGGGCCCTTGCTGTCCCTTGTCCCCCCCCCCCCCCCCGCCGTATGTGCTGAAGCCACGAAGAAGGTCCAGGAGCTTGGGCAGGGCAGGAGGCCCGGTGGCCGGGTGTGGGGGCCACCTCGCCGGACCCTCAGGGTGGGTCTCCGGGCTGGGCTCTGCTTGTCTTGGCCACAGAGGTGCTGGTCAAGTGGTGTGGGCTGGGTGGTTTTCCTCCTGGGTCCCTGGCTGTGCCCCAGCGACTGCCTGGTTGTGTGAGGGCCTCTGTCCTGGTGTGTGGCCAGGGTTGGGGAGTGGCCTGGCTGGGATCAGGCTTAGTGTCCACTGGGAGTGGGCTGGGCTTGGGTCCTGTCCCAGGACAGATGCTTGTCCCAAAAATGGACTTTGAGTCTTATAATCCCAACACTCTGGGAGGCTGAGGCAGGGGGATTGCAAATTTGAGCCCAGCCTGGGGAACTTAATGACTCAGTGAGGCCCTGTCTCAAAGTAAAAAATGAAATGGGGTGGGGATGTAACTCAGTGTGAAGGCCCTGGGTTCAGTTTTCCAGTACTGAAAGAAAGTGGACTTTGGTCCCAGGCCAGCCCCCCGGGAGCCCGTGCAGCTGCCGGGGTGTAGGTCTCTGGCCAGGGTGCCCCGTGCTGCTGACTGGCAGCCTGTGAGGCTCCCAGTGGGGCTTGAGTGTCGAGGGCTGCCCTACCCTGTGTGCTGCACTGGCCCTGCACTCCGCAGGCCTGTGTCCCGAGGGCCGCTGATGGGCCTGGGTGGGACTGGGCTGGGCTGGGGCAGCCTGCCTGCTTGGCACCTCCCTCGCCCTCCCTGGCCAGCTGCTGCTCGTCCTCAGGGCCTCTGCCCTGCCTCCTGCCCGCTTCCTCCCTGGCTCCTGCGGTGCAGGCCTCAGAGGCTAGCAGAGGGCTCCCCCGTGCCTGAGGTCCCCAGGACAGGCGGGTTCCCTGGCTGTCCGGCAGCCCCAGAACAAAGGCTGCGGGGCCGGGGAGGCTGGCGTGGGGGCTGGGCCGGGCCTCTGGGCGGGTTAATGGCTGTGGGGGGGGACTTCCTTCCCCTTCACAGCCTCCTGCAGAGTGGAAAAAGCACTGCAATCAGAGCGACTAGAAGCTGGCCCGGCTGCCCTCGGGCTGGGGCCCTGGTGGTGGCTGTCTGGGAGGGAGCCGGGCGCCTGATGTGGATCTGGGCTGCAGAGGCAGAGCAGAGGGGGCTCCTGTGGCGTTTCTGAGTCCGCCCTGGGTGGGGGATCCTCCCGCCTCTGCCCCTCTGCCGGTGAATTCCTGCAGGGTTCGGGGGAGCTGCTGATCGGGACCAGACCTGCCAGGTGCTTCAGAGCTGGAGAGAGTCCAGGCCTCTGGAGCTGGCGCTGTGAAGCCCCAGCTGACACAAGGCTGGGCCTAGGAGGGTCACCCTGTCACGTGACCTGGCATCCCTGGGGCTGGGGCTGGAGACCAGGAGAGAGGGCCCTGTCCACAGGCGGCCAGGGCTCCTGCTGTGCTGGCCACTCCAGGCCAGGACTCTCATCCCCTTGAGCCTCCTGGGCGTGGGGAGGGTGCAGCAGGCCACAGGGCAGGCTGGGGGAGCAGCCGGGCAGCCGAGAGCCCTGAGGGCTCAGTGGGCTCAGCTTCTTCAGCGGTGCAGAACAGAGCATGTTTGAGGACCCCCTGTAGCCAATGAGGGAGGGAGACCCGGGCTGGGGGACCCGAGGAGACCCCTGAGAGGAGCTGGGGACCTCGGCCCACGCGGCCCACGGGGGTTCCAGGGCCCCTGGCTCTTGTCACTGGAAAAACTGCAGGACCCTCAGTGGGGCACTGGCAGGAAGCAGCGCACGCCAAGGCCAGCACGGCCCTGTGGAGAGGGGCAGCGAGGCTCTGCTGGAAGTGGGTCTGGTCTCGGGGTGGCCCCAGTCAGGTCGCCTAGGACGTGCGTCTTCCCCTCGGCGGCTGGCTGGATTGCGTGTTGCATGTACTGGAAGCTAAAGAGCTGCTGCCCACGTAACCAGGCCGGCTTCCCGAGGACCATGTCAGCGGGAGGAGGTGCCGCCTGCTGAGCTGGGGCCGCGCATGGCCCCTGTGCAGGTGCTGTGCCTCCCTGAGGCGCTGGGAGTGTTTTCTGGAGCGAGTTTCCTCAAAGGGAAACCCACCCTGTAACTGTGCCTGGTCGCCTGAACCCCACCTCCAAATCCGAGACTCGGGGGCCTCGGATCCAGACCACAACGGTAACCTGGGGGCTCTGATTGTGCCCTGAAGCTGCAGTTCTTCTCAGCCACGCCTCTCCTTGGGTCTCCTCCCCCACCTCAGGACACGTGCTCTCTCCCGTGGCTGCCATCGCAGCTGCAGCCTGGCTCCTCCAAGAGCAGGGCAGTGCTGGCCCGATGTGGCCGGGGGTCCCCTCCCCGTGAGCGTCACCTCCTTGGGAAGGCTGCCCCTCGGGGAGTCTTCCTGCGCTCCACAGCAGCCCCTGGTTTCATTTTCCTGCTGGCCACCCAGGGCTGGCTGCAGACCCAGAGAGGCGGGCAGGGTCTCCAGCCCCCCTCTCCCCAGGACACACTCGCCAAGGGGTGGTTGTCGGGGAGCCTTGTTAGCCGTGTGGTTAATGGTGGGGGGAGGCGGCGGTTAGCCAGGGCACTGCGAACCTCACTACTAAGCGTCCATAATTATTTTCCTGCTGGGCTCGTGTGGAGGAAGCCGTGTGGGGCTTATTAATCAGTTATGGATGGAGCTGGGCGGCCATGTGATGTGGCAGCGGGTGAGGCGTGGACAGCGGGCTCTCTCCGAGGCTGCCCCAGCTGGCCACTGACTGTGCCTTTGTCCTTTGGTGTCCTAGGACCCCTGCCTCTCCGCTGTGCTCCTGGACAATCTCCCAGTGCCTGGCGCCTCGCCTGCGTGCCGTCGCGAGGCCGAAAGCCACTGTGATGCCTGCGCCACACACCTACACCAGCTTACCCAGGAGGCGCTGTGCCTGCTGCAGGCTCCTGCCAGTGGTGAGGACCCTGACGTCTCCCGGGGAGGCCTTGTACCCCCTGGGCCCGGAGCCATGACCAGCCCCAGGGATGCACCTGGCCCCATGGGAAGACAGCCACCTGGCCCGCCTGACAGGAGGAAGGGGCTGGCCTGGCCGGCCGGGCCCAGCGTCCAGGTGTCGGTGGCCCCTGCCGGCCTAGGCGGAGCGCTGAGCACGGTCACCATCCAGGCACAGCCCTGCCTGGACGGCGTGTGGAACGTCTCGAGGGCTAGCAGCTTCCTGCCGCCCACCTGCCTGGTGAGTGCTGGGCTCGCTGAGGTCAGAACTGGGCTCCTCCTGGGCCTGGGGCTTCCTGATGTCCTCGGGCGGGGTCCCCAGACATTCCTGGGGCCCTGTGTCAGATCCCTGACATGGCCCTCTGCGACCTTGGGAGCTGCTGTTGGGGACCATGTGCAACAGGGAGGGATGGAGGGCCGGGGTTGGCAGGAGGGAGGGGCTCTCTGTGAGCGACCTGCCGCACCGGGGGGCCACAGGCGCTGCCCAGGTGGCACAGACTGGCCTGTGGTGGGTGGCAGAGCCTGGGCCCAGGGTGAGGCCTCTGTTGGAAGCTGGGGTTCATGCCCACTCCCACCCTGGGCCTGGTCTCTTTGGAGAAGAGACAGTGAGTGGAGTTCCCTTCCCCAGGTGCACACTAGGAGTCCCTGAGGAGGCCCCACTTCCCTGCAGCTCGGTGGCCCTGCCCAGGGACCCACAGTGTTCACGGAGGGGTCCAGGTAGATGGCTGCTCTTCCCTCACCCGAGTGGCAGGCTGGGTCCCCTCAGTGTCCTCCGAACCCCCTCTTTTCCATCCCAAGAGGCTTCTTGGGATGCTGGGAGCTGTGGCTTGGGTTTGGGGAGTGGGTGGCTCCGCTGTGACCTGCACCCTTCACTTGAGCCCAGCCAGCCCCCTGTGCGTGCCTCGCCTGGCTCAGATGGCTTCTCCAGGTGGCACTGTGCCCTTGGCTGTGGCTTTCTGCTGGCTGGGGACCAAGGCCGAGCCACCAGTGCCCCCTGCCAGGCTCCCATGCACTTTGTGCTGTAGGTCTGGGGTCGGTGAGTGAGCAGTCAGAGGGACCCTCGGCAGAGCCAGGAGGTGTGAGGTACTGAGGGTGAGGGCGCCGGGTGCTGCCACGGAGAAGCCCCTGGATGGCCCCCCAGAGCCCCAGGGGCAGAGGGCCCGTGGGTGGCTGTGGGCAGTGCCCGTTCCGAGCATCGTGCAGCCGACTGTGCCGGCTTGTGGTTATGGAGCCTCTAAGAGGAGTTGAGGGCCCTGGGCCTCGGTCTCCCTGCCCGGTGGCATTTCAGGGGCTGAGCAGAGGTGCAGGGCAGTCCAGATGCAGGATGGGCCCTGCCCTGGCTTCTAGCTCTGCTGGCCCCTCTCTGGCCTAACCCTGCCCAGGCTGGGGCTGGGCCTTCGCAGCCACTGTCATCAGGCCGGGAGCAGGGAACTTGGGGAGGAGTCTTGACCATACCTGGCCTCCAGCTGGTGTGATGCTCCACCCTGGGAATGGCCTCACTGCTGCTCCTGGCCGGAACAGCTCTCTCTGTTTATCATCCTGGGGAGGCCTGACCGCTGCTACCTGGGAGGAGTGTGCCAGGGCAGTCAGCCGGTGCCATCCTGGGAGGTGGCATTGAGCTGGGCCCAGAGGGGCCCTTGAGGTGATGGGCCCGGGACCTGAGACTGGCCCCAAAGTGTCCCTCCCTCCTGTCTCCTGGCCACGTGTCTGGCTGGGAGTTGGCTGGCTGATGTGGCACTCTTATGTCTTGGTGCAGGATGGGGCCTGGGGGTCACAGGGGTGGCCCTGTTGACAGCTGGCATTCCACAAAACGTAGGTGTTTAGGGCACCCGCTCCCCGTTTTGTGTGTGCATCGATTGTGTTCTGGGTAGACGGGAATGGATTTGTAATTAGGAAACTGTCTAGCAATCAATAGGGAGATTATTAGAACCATAAATAGAACTTCAGGACTCAGAGGAGGAAATGTCCCTGACCGGATGTCAATTGTTAGAGGTGGCCCTGGAGTGTTAGAATATTGCCTGGTTTGGTCTAGAATTAAATATTTCTGGAGAGATGCGCTATGAACATCAGGAATCTCCCAGGCAGACCCTGACTCGGCAGGTGGTGGTAGCTCAGCCTGGTGGGCACTGCCCTCTGCGTGAGGCCAGTGGAGTGCTGAGGGGGAGTGGCCAGGCCTGCCCAGAGGGCTGTCCTTGAGGGGAGGCGGGTGACAGGGCCGGAAGCCAGGTTGGAAGCTGCTGGGTGGCCCTGCTGGGGCCTTGGGTTGACAGTCTGGGTGCCCCGGTCCGTGGCCATCCAAATCTGAGCCCATGGCTGCATCCAGGAGCAGAGCATGGTGGCTTCTAGGTGTCCCACCACCTATGCGTGCAGACAGCCCTGGGGTCGCATGGCAGGGCTCTCCTGCCCACCTGCCTGACCATGCTGGACAGAGGCCTGGGACACATGACCCCCACCCAGGCCTGGCCCTGGCATTGGGACACCCTTTCTCCCAGTGCTGTCGGTGCTGGCATGTCCAGGCGGGGGTGACACAGAGGCCACTTCACTGCCTGCTGTTCGGCAGGTGGGCAGGGACATAATGGACACCCCCAGGGCAGCAGGGTCCCGAGGAACCAGGGTCCCCATCCATAGCACTTGGGTGGCACCGGCCTGGGGGCCTGGGGGCCTGGGGGCCTCTGCAAGGCTGCCGGACATCCAGGGCTTGGTGGGGGTGGGAGAAGCTGGGGGGGGGGGCTTTGGCCATGCCTGGGCCTGGCTCTCTGACCTCTGCCGGGGCCCTCATGTGGGCCTCAGTTTCCCTGCCTGTGGAGTAGGTGTTGGCAGGATGGTTCCTCCTCCAAGGGAGCTGCAGGGACCCTGCCCATACTGGAGGCCTCTGGGTGAGGAGCCTGGGCCTTCGTGAGTGGGTGATTTTGCCCGTAGGCCCAGCCCTGGCCCCCTCAACACCCCAGGAGCCTGTGAGGCATTTGTGGGTGCGGCTGGTGCAGACTCCCTGCCTGGTCCCGTAGGACCAGTGTTCCAGCGAGGCCTCTGGTGCCAGCTGGCATCGAGAGGCCTCCAAGGCAGGGCTGTGGCGTTGGCGGGGGCGGTAAGCAGGTGCGGGTTCTCCTGACTGGGCTCCGCCGCAGCCGGCCTCACGCTGTCCTCTCTCCTGCTTTTCCTTTCGTTGCTGCTGTAGCGCCTCCATCTCGCTTTCTGTTGACCACCTTCCCTCTCCTCTGTCCTGTGTGTGGTCCCCTCCCTTCTGCCCTGCCTCTCGCTTGGGATGGCTTCTTTTGGCATGCTTGGGCTCTGCTTCTGGCAGGAGTTGGCAGTGGCCGTCCCTGTGGTCGGAGCTGTGGGACGGTGGAGCTGCGGCTGGTGCGGGACTCCCGAGACAGGTCAGTGCGGGTGGCCCGGGGCCGCAGGTGGCATCATGCGGGGGCTGGAGGCAGAGACACAGGAGGAGATGGCGGGTGGCTGGGCCTGGGGAGTGGGCAGGGGCGAGGCTGTGACCCGCCGTGGCCCCTCTGGCCTCCGTTGCGCACCTGCAGGCAGCAAGGTGCCACTGTGATGGGGCCTGGCCCCGAGCCACTGGTACGGCCACGCTCTGCACCCAGGGGTTCTTACAGTTGTGATGTTAGGACTCAGCCTTTCCTAGGCTGCTCTGCTCTGCACAGGGCTTTAGTCTTTCCTGGGGAGCGTGAGTTGATGGGAAAGGAATTCCTGGGCAAGGTGAGGCAGGGTCAGGGTGGCTTCTGAGAGAGGTGCAGGGGTTCCTGCCCTGCAGGCAGGCGGAGGACATGGTGTGCTGCCCAAGCTGTGGGTCTGCCCTTTTCTGCAACTGACCTTTCCTTCTCATCGCCCAGGGCCAGGAGGGCCAGCCTCCCACAGACCCAGGCTTGGGGCTGGCTATGAATCCACTGAGACGGGCTTCTTTCTGCTTACTGTCCCAAGAGGGCTTTGGAAGCTGGCGCTGGCCACAGGCCCAGAAAGCAACACCTACCATGGAGGGGGGAAGCTGCCGGCTGCCGGTGGAGAAGGGGCTCCTCAGGATGTTCCTCCAGGGCCTGGGCTTGTTCTGCTGCAGTACTCCCTGGGCTTCTGCCGTGTCCCCAGGGACCCTGAGCACACTGGGCTCCGCAGCCCCAGATCACTAGACCTGGACTCTCTCCCCTCTGCCACCTACACAGGGGCAGCCTGGGCCTGGCCGTAGACCCATCCCAGGCCTGGTGGAGCTGGGCACTCGGAGGGCTGGGGCCAGCAGCCCTGGGGAAGGGGGTGGTCACCTGTGTGCCAGGGGTCTGAGCCCCAAGGGGCAGACAGATGTCGTGTGGTAGGGACACCAGCCTGGAGTTCGCTTGTGGTGTCCTGGGGAGCTTTCTCTACATCTGAGCTCATCATGAGGCGTCTCCCTTCCGGGATTTATTTTAGCTAATTAGTTGGAAATGACAGAGCCGTGTTTCAGACTCAGGAGCATCCTACATTATCAAACTGAGGGCAGTTAGCACCCGGGCCAAATGTCTACTCTGGCTCCTTGTCCAGTGACACCTCTGGAGGCTGCCAGGTGGCCTGGCAGAAGGGTGTGGGGCCCCCTTGGTCCATCGGACCTCTGTGATCACTGTGTCCTGGGTCCTCAGTGGCCGGGCTGGGAGCTCAGGCCCTGGCTTGTCCACCTGCCTCCCGTGTCCTGAGCCGGAGGGCTGAGTCTTGGCATCTCGCCTCAGTTGCCTGGCCCTGATTTCTGGGGCCTTCCCAGCTACACCTGCGGGGTCCCTGGGGCTGGGGAGTGTGTGGCCTCTGGGGGCATAGCTTGTCTCCTGAGCGCCTGGGAGCACTGGGGAGCACTGGGGCACTGGGGCCTCTGCCCACCTGCCTGTGCCTCACGTGGATTCTCTTTCCCTCCAGGCTGAGGCAGCCGTAGCTGCTGTGGCGGTGGCAGACTCTGTCCGAGATGGTGCCCCCATGGGCCCTGGTTGCGTGTCCAAGGCGTGGGGCCGAGTGGGGGCCTGCACATCGGCCCTGGTCACCCCAGCCCCTGGCACCTCAGCAGGGGGCTCTACAGGCCCGTCGGCCGCAGCCTCCTTCTTCATGAGGTATGTCCTCAGGGGGCTCTAGTCAAGGCATGGGTGAGCAGTGTGCAGGGATGGGGTGCCTCTTGGACCTGGGGCCCTGGCCTCTGCTGGCCTGAAGTCATCCTGGAGAACTGTGGCCCTGCCTGCTGCCTGGTGGAGGGGTGGGTGCTATGTGGCGACAAAGCTGCCTGTGTGCTCTTCCTCCTGGGCACCCTTCGAGGACAGACTGGTCCCCTGGGCCCCCGTCCCAGGCCTGAGCTGGGGTGCCGGGAGGGACAGGGCCATGGTCTGCATGCTCCAGGGGCCCCAGTGCCTGGCCCAAGGCCCTGCAGGCACCAGTGCTTGGCATTGGCTGGCGTGGATGCGGGGTCCTGTGGAGGACTGGTGGTGGGGAGGTGGGGAGGTGGGGTCGCGTGTGGCCGAGGGAAGCAGCTGGCAGACAGAGTCCTCAGTGCTGCAGCCCCTGGGCCCAGCGTCCTCCCCACCCTGAGGGGCCTGGGGACGAGGATTACAGGATGTAATCTCGGTAATGAGTGGTAATGGTGAGCGCAGCTGTGGGTCACCGTCCCATTAGCAGCCTTGCGATGCTGATAAGCTAAGCTGGTCCCTGAGTCACAGGCAGCAGCAGCGAGGAGGGCAGCTTATCAGCGGGGCTCTGGGGACTGTGGGCGACTGGGGAGTGACTGGGCATGCGATGAGGGTGTTGTCGCTGCCGAGCGTGCTCTGTACTGGGGTGGTCTCGGCCACCACCCCAATCAGGAGCAGGGAGCCAGCTGGGCCTCTGGGGGACGGGGGTGGCCAGCAGGGTGTCCTGGAGGGGGCGGGGAGACCTCGAAGCTGCTGCCTGTGTCCCCCACTCTGTGTCTCCATTTCCACAACTCTGCCCTGAGAGTCCCGGGCTCAGAAGTGCGGGGTCCTCTGGAAAGAAAGCAGCCCTGGGGCCACACTGGGCCTGAGGGGGTCTAATCAGGGAGGAGAGGACAGCGGGGAGGGCGGGCCCTCAGCCGGCTCATTAGCCGCTGGAGCAGCCCTTTTGTCTGAGCCAGGCTGGCGCTGCTCCTGCCTGCCATGCCTCTGACCTTGGGAAGTTGCCATAGAAACGAAGAAACAAGAGCAGGGCCGGAGAGGCAGTTTGAGTGGGCCTGCCCGCTGCAGTCACTTCCAGCTGGTTAGGTGCCCCGAGTCACGCTGCAAGTGGGGGGCGTGCGTGGCCCCGGTGGGGTGGGTGACCTGGCAGGCCGTTGTGCCCACAGTGGGCCTGGGCTGGGGTCCAGAGCCAGGGTCCTTGCCCCTGGGGAGGGGTGAGGGAGCTTAGGGGCTGCTCTCTGGGTGTGGCGGCCAGCGGTGCCGTGGGAGGAGGGGCTTGTCTGGGGCCACTGAAGGGCCTGGGGCCCAGCCCCTGCCCTGCACGTGTGCTGGTTTCCAGGTGGGGGTGGCTCATGTGGGGTGGCCTTTGATGGCCACGGGGCTCTGTCAGCCCTGGTGCTGTGGGCTGTGGAGTGGGCCTTGAGGGTAGGGTAGGAGGTTGGCAGGTGTGGAGGGGGTGCGGTGAGAAGTTGGGGTTCTGGGACCCTGCGGTCCTGGGGTGCGTCTTGGCCCCCTCAGCATGCCCCTGTCCTCCACTGCCTCTGGGCCTTCTTACCTCTGTGTGGGGAAGCCGAGGATGCCCGCAGCAGGCCAGGGGCAGGGCTGGGACTGGCCCTGCAGGACCCCACCTGGAGCAGGGCCGTGCTGCCGAGTCCTCTCCCAAGGCCCTGGGGACACTGCGGCTGGGCACTGCTGCCCTCCAGTGCCTGGGTGGGGTGGCTCTGCCAGACCTTCCCCAGTCCCGTGCGCCACACCCCACTCAGCTGCCTGCCTTCCCACCCTTCTGCCCGCCTTCCCACCCTTCTGCCCTTCTGGGACCCGGAATCGGGATGTCTTGGCTGAGCTGCATCCCCAGGGCAGGCTGGGGTGGGGAGCAGAGGGGCTTCCTTCCAGCAGCCCCCAGTGGAGCTGTCTTGTCTGCCTGGGTGTCCGGCTGAGCCCAGAGGGGCAGGGCAGGGTGAGCCCCGGAAGCAGCAGCCTGTGTCTGTGCCAGCTCGAGGCCTCCAGGCGAGGTCCCAGCAGGTATGGAGGAGGCCTAGGGTCCTGCGGCCGTGGGTCCGGGGTGGGTGGAGCTGGGTACAGCCGGCTCGGCTGCCAGCCCGTTCCCTGCAGCTGGGAGGCTCTGCCCTTGCAGGGCCCAGCTCACCCCGCCTTGCTGTCTCACCTCGCGGCTCGGAAACCAGAGGTCTGCAGCCCGAGAGGCAGCGCCTGGACCGCAGGTCTGGCCCCCTTGAGGTCCTCGAGGCCCTGGCAGCCGAGGAGCTGGGCGCTGCCGGCTGTCCGGAGTCCATCTCAGGGTCTCAGGGTCTCAGCGTCACGCCCTGGATTCCGTCAGAGGAGGAAGTACTGTGAAGGCAGTGATGGGTGCTGCCCAGTGCTGCGCTGCCAAAGCAGCCCGAGGGCCAGGCGGGCGCTTGGGGAGCGGGTGGTGCCCAGCCGCTCGCTCGGGGCTGCTACAGCCAGGGAGGAGGCCCTCAGTCAGGCCGGACTGGTGTGCGGATGCCTGCCCATAATCAGCCATGCCGGCCCCTGGGCCAGCCGAGCCTCAGAGGGGCCTGCTGCGGGGCCCCAGGATGGCCCGGTGTGGCTGAGGTGTGCGCAGACCCTGGCTCTGGGGGCACAGGGGGCGGAGCTGGCTGTGGTCTCACCTGTGGCCGACCCAGCAGAGCCCCCTCACTGTCCTGGACCTCGCCCTGGTCCCCTGTGCCTCTGGCCAGTCACGGTCCTCCCGACCTCCCTCCGCGTCCCCTCCCCATTAGGGGCATGGAGTGTGGGTGCAAGGGGTGCTGCTCCATGGGGGGCTGCGCCCGGACCCCAGACCTAGCTAGGCCTGGGCAAGGTGTGCCTGCCGCTGCCTTAGGGTGACCGGGAAGGGTGCCCTTTCCTGAAGCCCGGCTCAGGCGTGGCCCCATTTATAGACAGGTGCCTCCTTGGGGAGCCTCCTTGTCCTGCTGTGTGCGCGGGCTCCCGCCTGCTGACGCAGCCTTGCTCCTGGGTCCCAGCCCGGGCAGTGCCAGGTGGACAGGGTGGGGCTGCCCTGCCCATCCTCGCGTCCTGAGGCCGCCTGTAGCTTCTTCCGCAGAGGCTGCCGGGGAAGCCAGGGGGAAGCTGGGGTTCGGTCTGGGAGAGCCCCTGGGCCGACGCTGCTCACACTGCAGCCCACTGCCCCTTCCCTGCCCCGTGGGGGTTCATACCACTTCCGGGGGCCCATCTTCCCTCGACTCCTCTGCTGCGATGGCTGAAGTGCCTGTCTGCATGTGGCTTCCCTGCCCGCGTGTGGGATTTGCAGCCCTCGGCTCAGGCAGCGGGGTGGGGGTGTTGTGTGCTCACGATGGCCAGTGAGCTCTCCGGGGTGCAGACACCTCCATCGCCACCAGGGAGGGAGGGACCTTCCTGGCCTGCGACCTCCACCCCCCACCTGGCCCTTCCCACGACAGGAGCGCCCGCCACGGCTCTGTTAAAGGCTCATCGTAGATTATTTTTATTCTCCTCGATGACACCTCGCAAGAAGGAAGCCGTCCCTGGGGCCTCTTAAAAGACAACTCCTATTTAAGAGAGGAGTTAAGCAAAGTGCGAGGTAGATCTCGCCCCTTCGGTGGGAGGCGGGGTGGAGGCTGGCACAGCCCTGGGGCCCTAGGGGGCTGCAGAGAAGCCCCCCATGGCCGGTCCTTCTGGAGAGGCTCCCGGGGCTAGGGAGGACGAGGCAGGTACCTTGGGGTGTGGGGTTGGAGGGGGGCGGCTGGGCTCTTCTGTTGGAACCAAGTGACAGGCCCAGGGAGAGGGGTGGGCCGTGCCACAGGTGCGTGTTTCACATGGGCGGTGTCCCTGGGTCCCCTCTCGGGAGAGCTTGGGTTCCATGCATCGGGAAGGAGCGTTTTGGGGGCTGGCAGATCCTTGAGAAAGGCTGGGGACCAGCAGAGCAGGTCAGCGTGCAGGAAGGCCCCACACCTGGCGGCTGGATTGTGTGCAGGCCTAGGTGTGTGCAAATGTGCAGGTGAACCCGTGTGGCTGTGTGTGTACGTGCACCTCACGTGTGTGCGCCCACGCGTGTGTGTGGTGGGTGGCATCCCCTCAAGCCTGTGCTGGGAGCTAGGCGTGTTCCCAGCAGAGGTCCCAGGTCTGGGGACAAGGCGGTCCCTGCCCTGATTTGGAGCACTCATAGCGACAGCAGCATTATTAGGGTCCTGTGTGCAGGTGCCGTGCTGAGTGCCTTGTACGTATTCGGCTCATTGGGGCCACACCCGAGGGCCCCTGAGAGTTACATTGCCCCTATGGTAGGGATGGGGAAACTGAGGCACAGGGAGGCTAAATTAGCATGCGCAGGTCCTGCTGCCTGTGAGTGGCTGCTGCGGTCTGGGCGCTTGCTTTGTCTGCCGGCCTCTGTCCCCTGCCTGTCCATGTGCTGGCCAGAGCTGCTGGGCAAGGGCGTGGTGGTGGCCCTGGGGACCCTACTTTGAGAAGTGTGCTTGACTGGGCAGCCCCAGTCCTGGCTGTTTGCTTAGAGCATCTGTGGCATGGCTAGCTGAGTCTGGGGGTGGAACGGCCTGGTGGATGTGTGGGTGTGGCAGGCCGCTGAGCCTCTCTCCTCCCCAGGGCTGCTCAGAAGCTCAGCCTGGCCTCCAAGCGCAAGAAGCAGCACCTGGCGCCCACCCCCACGTCCCGTAGTGCCTCCACCTACCCCACCGACTTCAGCGGCACCCTGCAGCTGTGCCCGCCCCCGGTGCCGCCCTGCCTGCTCAGAGCTGCCTCCAAGGCCAAGGACAACCCAGGTGGCTTCGGAAAGGTAGACTCAGCGCCGAGGCTGGGTGGCCCTGGGAGGGCAGCTGGGGTATCAGAGAAGTGGGGAAGGCAGAGGGGCCTGGTTCATTCTCCAGGACAGTCGGCATGGGTACACATGGGGGGACTGAGGTGTGGGGGAGCTGCGCCAAGGGGCGGGGAGATGGTAGGGAGTGATGTGGGGGCACAGGAAGTATCTGCACCCACTCTGAGTCCTGCATGGCGGGGAACTGGATTGCCCATTAGGCGGGCTCTGGTGTTGGGGAGCGTAGGCAGCCAGGGTGGAGGTTGTGCCCTGGGCTTTCCCTGACCTCTCCCTGGGAGTGGTGGAGTGGGGGCTGCCTGAGCCTGCCCAGCACTGTGCAGTGGGCGTGGGCCCCGTGGGCTCTCAACTGCACAGGTGGTCAGTGTGGGCCATCAGGCCTGGCTCCCGGGGCTGCAGCTCCTAGCGATGGGGCCTGGAGAGGAAGCTGGGGTGTGTGCTGAGGCCCGTGGCCAGCCTAGAGGGCTCTTCCTTCCTCTGGTCGTGGTCAGCACCTGTGGGGCCTTCACGCCCTGGCCCGGGTGGGCTTCCCTCACCCCGCCACCACTCGTGGCCCTGGGCCAGCTTCACAGGGGTCTCTGGATTCTGCGAGAGCCAGAATTGCTGCCCATCCTGCCCAGGGCTGGTGGGAACGTGTTGGGATCTGGAGTAAACTGGCCAGGGGACGGGGCCTTGCAGCACTGTGTCCCTGGCCACCACCCTGCACCCCGGAACACCGACTCGGGGGTTGAGGCCAGCCCACCTGGCTCCTTCCCCGGGTGGGGGATACACTCGTCCCTGTGACTTTCTCAGTAGGCCTGAACTGGCAGTGGCCTGTGGTGGGGACAGGTACTGTGCCAGGGTTGGGTGCAGGCAGCTGGCAGTGAGCCCCATACCTGTCCAGGCCCGGAGTGTGGAGTTTGCCCAGTGAGCTGCCCCACTCTGGAGCCTGCCTGGCTGCGTGGATCTCTGCAGTCGCCTTCTCCCTTGGGCCACCTCTGCCTCTGGGACCTCACGTCGACATTCAAGGACTTCATTCTGTCCCAACTGCCCAGCCTAGGGGCTGGGCCCCAGGTTGGTCCCAGCCGGTCAGTTTCTGACGTCAATGTGCCACTTGCAATGGCTCATCATGCTGTGGCGCTGAAGGAGACATCCCTTTTGGGGGGGCCTGAGCGGTGCCCCTCCCCCTTGCCTGCCTGGGATGCCTTGCGGAGTGGGAAGCCCCCCTTTTTTTTTTTAATGCAAAATGTGTTTTTCCCTCCCTGGCTTTGTGATATGTGCACATTTCGGGGAGAGACTCAATGAGCTTGTCTCCTGGAGGACCCTGTCATTTCCCTGTGGTAATGACAGGTTCTGTGGCAGCAGACAATGGCCCGGCACTGGGACGAGGGCAGCAGGGGGCAGCCTGGTGGCTGCTGCCTGCCTGGTCCCCTCCCTGCCTGGCTGGGGGTCAACCTGGGATTAGAGGCAGTCATCAGTGTTGAGAGCCGAGTCCTGCCTCCTCCGGACCTCTCTTCCCTGCCAGGAATTCTCTCAAATCTCCAGAACCCATTTGGCTCTTGAAGTGGTGGGGAGCTCACGTTGGAGAAAAATTGCTAGAAATTACCCCGAAGTGGACATTTTCATCTGCTTTGCAGCGGTGTCTGGAAATGGAATAGTTTTGTTCATGCCGTCGGGAATAAAAGAATCAATTCTTGCCTGACGGAGCCCAGGTCCTCAGCAGCACAATAGCTGAGTGTCTTCCGCACCTCTCCCTGAGGGTGGAGGTTGGGCCGCCCTCCCAGTCCGGGCGGCCTTTGCATCCAGGCCCCCACACCCCAGGGGAGGGGATGGCCCTTGTGCACCCTACTGGTAAACCAATTTCACCAGCGTCATGTATCTGTCACTTACAATTAAACCCGTGAAAAATATTGGCTCTGAAATGAGTCTTGGGTAATACAATTTATACCGATGTGCGGACCTCAGAGACTCCCATGGAGCCTAGACGGGTTTCCTCCAGCAGAAGGTGGAGCTGGGCTGAGGAGCCTGAACTCGGGGTGCTCCTGAGAATAGCGCCTGCCTGCCACCTGCCGGGCCGCCTGGAGGCCCCCGGTACCCTACATGAGATAAGGGCACCTGCTGTGGGCCCCCTCCCCACTCAGGGCTCATCTGGGGCTGCGCTGTGTGCTCCAGAGCTGCACGTGGAGCCTGCTGTAAGCCCAGGGGACTGTACCTGCCGCTCAGACCCACCTCGGCCAGAGGCAGCGACCTCGGGTACCCCACCCCCACCAGGCCTCCCTGGCCCTCTGAGACCCGTCGCCCTGTGTGGCTTGTCCACTTGCCATCCACAGATGCTCCTGGTCTCCTGGTCCCCCAGGGCCCTGAAGGACTTCGGCTGCTGGGGAGGAGAGTCCTGGAGGAGCCCTCTGGGCTCGTGGGGTGACCCTGTTCTCTCAGCCCACTTTTTGGGACCCAAGCACCCCAGAGCCTGCCGCCCCCGGTTCTCAGCCCGCGTCTGCTCGCCCTCCCGCCCACCCAGCTGGGGCTTCGTGTTCCCTCTGCCCACTGACCTCATAGGGATCCGCTCAGGCTGCATTCCTGTGGTGTCGGTGCCCGCGCTGAGGCCTGCTCCGCTGTCCCAACTCGCGCTGCTCCTCCTGCCCTGTAATTAGTGGCCAGCGGGGCGGGCGTGGTGCTCAGAGCCTGCTCTCCTGCCCCAGGTGAAAGTCATGCTGCGCATCTGGCCAGCACAGGGTGTCCAGCGCTCGGCTGAGTCTGCATCCTTCCTGAAGGTGGACCCCCGGAAGAAGCAGGTGACCCTCTACGATCCAGTCGCCGGGTCCCCGGGTGGTGCAGGCCCCCGGAGAGCAGCCACAGCAGCCATACCCAGGATGTTCGCCTTTGATGCTGTCTTCCCTGCGGACTCGGAGCAGGTACTGGGCCGCGTCTGGGAGCGGGGGTCGAAAGGGCAGAGGGAGCCGGGCACCTGCTGAGGTCCCTACCGGGGTCTCCTTCCTGGGAAGCCTTCTGAGCAGCACTTTTTTGTGCTGGACGCAGGGCCACTGCTCCCAGCCTCGTGCGCCGCACACAGTGTGCCCATGTGTCCCTCGTGCTGCCATGTCCCAGTGTCCATAGCAGCGGCAACTCTGTTGTGGGGGTGTGCATATACGCACTATAGGGTGTGTGAGCGCACTTCCCTTTTGGCGTGTGCACAGGTGTATTATAGGATGTGTGTGCACACAGGTGCGTTGTGGGGTGTGTGCACAGATGCATGATGGGATGTGTGTTCCCATGTGTGTTACGGGGGCGTGCACACGTATCCTGCCACCAAACCCAGCATGTGTCATGTGTTCTGTGTACTGTTCATACATGTTGCGTGCTCTCTATGCACGTGGTCCCCTGCCTGCCCCAGGGGCTGGTGGGCTACAGGTGACAAGGACAGACAGGCCCTGGGCTCACATGGGGGGCAGAGGCGGTGGCTGCAGCCCCCAGCCTGGCCCTGGCCCTACCTGACCCCCGGTCCCTCCACAGGCTGAGGTCTGCTCTGGGACTGTGGCCGACGTGCTCCAGTCTGTGGTTGGTGGGGCTGATGGCTGCATTTTTTCCTTTGGCCACACGAGCCTTGGTGAGCACTCGGGTCACCCCATCCTGCCAGCCCACTGCCACCTGTGCTGCTGCAGTCGCTGGACCCTGACCCTGGGTGGGGAAAGAGCACAGCTGCCCTTGTGGGCACAGGGGTCTTTGCGGAGGGGATGCTGAGGCTGCAGAGAAGGCAGAGGCCTCGCCGAAGACCCTGGGCAGGGTTGGGGTGGCCCCTGCTGGTCTGGCTGGGCTCGAGGGCACGTGTGGCAGCAGGGTGGACCCTCACGTGCCCGGTGGCCTCCAGGCAAGTCGTACACCATGATCGGGAAGGACAGCTCACCCCAGAGCCTGGGCGTGGTGCCCTGCGCCATCTCCTGGCTCTTCCGCCTGGCGGAGGAGCGCAGGGAGAGGACGGGCACCCGCTTCTCCATCCGCGTCTCAGCAGTGGAGGTGTGTAGCCGGGACCAGAGCCTGCGGGACCTGCTGGCCGATGTGGCCTCCAGCGGCCTCCAGGACACCCAGCCTCCGGGCGTGTACCTGCGGGAGGACCCGGCGTGTGGGGCACAGGTATACCAGGGCCACTGTCCTTCTTGGGCCAAAGGGTGGGTGGGTGGGGGCTGCACTGGGCCCCAAGCCCCTAAAGCACAATCTTCTCTGCCTCCTGCAGCTGCAGAACCAAAGCGAGCTGCGGGCACCCACGGCGGAGAGGGCGGCTTTCTACCTGGATGCGGCACTGGCCGCCCGTGGTGCCCAGGCCAGCGGGGAAGACAGGGGCCACAGCTCCCACCTTCTCTTCACACTGCACGTGTACCAGTACCGCGTGGAGAAGTGTGGCCGGGCCGGAAGTAAGTGCCGCCTGCTGCCCACTGGGCGCCCTGGAGGCGGCTCCCTGGCCACACTGTTGCCACGGCCTTGCTTTCCAGTGTCTGGAGGCCGGAGCCGCCTGCACCTCATTGACCTGGGCAGCTGTGAGGTGGCGCCTGGCAGTGGTGAGGAGGCCACCGGGGGATCCCTGTGTCTGTCCCTGTCAGCCCTGGGCAGTGTCATCCTGGCTCTGGTCAATGGTGCCAAACACGTGCCCTACAGGTGAGTATGGGCACCTGGGCAGGTGGTGCCAGGCAGGACTGGGGCTCCGGGGTAGCCAGTCTCCCGGCCAGAAGCACCCGCCTCGCCCAGCTCCCACCCTGACAGTGCTGGCCCTTGGTCCCCAGGGATCACAGGCTCACCATGCTGCTCCAGGAGTCCCTGGCCACCACCAGCTGCCGCACCACCATGATCGCCCATGTGTCAGATGCAGCAGCCCACCACGCCGAGACACTCAGCACCGTGCAGCTGGCTGCCCGTGTCCACCGCCTGCGCAGGAGGAAGGCCAAGGTGGGCCTGTGCCGCGGTCCCGAGCCACGTTCCCCGGGCTGTGGTGGCACCTGGAGGTACCAGGAGGGAGCAGGGAGCCACACGTGGGTTCCCAGTCAGCACAGTCAGAGCTGCCCGCTGTGGGCTTTGCGGTTCCCTGGACCCACAGCAGACCCCAGGGCAGTGGGACGTTGGCACCACCCTGGCAGGGGCTTCCCAGGCACACTTCCCAGGCCCTGAGGGCGGACTTCGGGGCCTTCTTCAGCCAGACTGCCTGAGCCTGGGTCCGGGGTCTGCTCAGTGCGGGCAGGGTTCTTGCAGTTCCCAGCACTGAGCCAGCCACACCACGTGGCCCCTGCCACTGTGATGCTACAGGTTGTGGTGGGAGGTGCTGTTGGAGTGGGGGCCAAGCTGGCTGGAGGTGGGGTGCACTCACAGGGTTCCATGCTGCCGCCCCCAGCACGCGTCCAGCTCCTCAGGTGGGGAGAGCTCCTGTGAGGAGGGCCGGGCCCGCCGCGCCCCCCTCCTGCGGCCCTTCCACTCACGAGCAGTGGCCCTGGACCCCGACCGCCCACTGCCCGGCCTGCCTGGCGACCCCGACTACTCCTCCAGCAGCGAGCAGTCCTGTGACACGGTCATCTACGTGGGGCCAGGTGGGACGGCGCTGTCAGACCGCGAGCTCACGGACAACGAGGGCCCTCCAGACTTCGTGCCCATCATCCCCTCCCTGAGCCGCCGCCCGCCCCCCGCCGGCCCCCGGGATGCTGACCACTTCCGCTGCAGCACGTTCGCGGAGCTGCAGGAGCGGCTGGAGTGCATTGATGGCAATGAGGGCCCCCCTGCGTCCCTGGGCGGCAGCGACAGAGCCCAGGCCTGCCCGGCCCGAGGAGGCAGGAAGCCTTCGCCGCCTGAGGCCGCGTCCCCCAGGAAGGGCATGGGCACCCCGTTGGCAACCAGCACTCCTCGAGGCAGCCCTGGCCCAGACACCCACCAGGGCGACCCCGAACCTGCCAGGGGTGGTGCCCAGGGTGACCAGCAAGAGGATGGCAGCTCCCAGTGTGAGCCACTGGCCCTGGACAAGGCTGTGGGGGCTGAAGGCCGGAGGCCGCTGCCCAGCCTGGCCCCTCTACCACCCAGGCAGTCAGAAGCCCTGGGAGCTCCGGCGGAACTCAGGGGAGGGGGCACCGAAGGAGCAGTGCGGACGCCCCCCGTGGGCATGAGCAGGCAGGGGCATTTCCCACTGGCCCCGGACTCAGGCTGCCCCTGCCCGTCCATGCGGGGCCATCATCTGGAGCGGGGCCTGCTGACCACCACAGTGACCCTGCAGCAGCCCGTGGAGCTGAATGGTGAGGACGAGCTGGTGTTCACAGTAGTGGAGGAGCTGCCCCTAGGGGGACTGGCAGGCGCAGCGCGGCCCTCAAGCCTGACCAGCTTCGGCAGTGACTGCTCCCTGCAGGCCCTGGCCTCGGGCTCTCGGCCTGTCAGCATCATCAGCAGCATCAATGACGAGTTTGACGCCTATACCTCTCCGGCCCCTGAGGGCCCTGGGGAGCCGTTGGAGGGAGCATCCTGGCCAGGAGGCAGCCCCGGCTCCTCCGTTGGCTCCTGGCTCAACGAGGTTGGCGTCTGCAGAGCCGCCAGCCGCAGCCCCACGCCACAGCCTCCCTTTAGCCCCGATGCGCCAGCGGGACCTGGGCCTCCAGAGCCCTCTGTCTGGGGCAGCTCCTTGGAAGGTGTCAGGTCTGCTGAACAGGGTGGGCCTGATGGCTCTGGCCCAGCCCAGAGTCTGTGCACGGGGGAAGTGGCTGGCGTGGGCCTGTCGGGAGCTGGCCGGGAGTCCTGGGCTAGGTCCTTCCAGGGCACTGCCACAGCCCAGACCATCCACTCCAGCCTTCCCCGGAAGCCCAGGACCACCTCTGCGGCCAGTCGTGTGGCCTGCGCCCGCCCTAGCCAGAGCCCACCCAGCCCCCTAAGCCTATTTGAGGACCCGTGGCTGCTGCGTGCAGATGACTGTGATGCCCCTAGCCCGACCCCAGGATCCCCCTGGCTCCCTGAGGCGCAGGCAGGGCCAGCTTATGCCCAGAGGGTGGTGGATGGCTGTGTGGTGGTGGCCAGGGCAGCCCGCAGGCCGGAGGCCGTGGCTTGGATCCCGCCCCTGCGGCGGGGAGCCACCACACTGGGGGTGACTACACCTGGCATGTCCTGTGGGGACACTGTGGCCGGGGCAGCTGCCTGCTCCACCAGCCTGAAGGGCTCTCCTGGCAGCAGGAAGGGCATGTCTCCCAAGGGCGGCTTCTTCCCGAGGTCTGGGGGTGCAACGCCCCCCGCCCCTCCTGTGCGCAAGTCCAGCCTGGAGCAAAGCAGCCCGGCCCAGGCCCCCATCCTGGCCCCAGGCCTCACCCGGACAGGGGCTGCTGCCACCTTTCATGGGGAGGAGGAGGCCCGGGCCAGTGGGCGGGCTGACCATGCCATGCCTAAGGCCACGTCCAGTCTCAGGGCCCGGGCAGGCAGGATGGAGGTGGCCCACCGTCCTGCTGGCCACGTGTCCCTGGAGCGGTGCGAGGGCCTGGCACACAGCAGCAGGGCCCGGGAAGCCCCCGGGCGGCCGCCCCGGGCTGTGCCCAGGCTGGGTGTAGCACCCGCTAGCCCCATGCCTGGATCGTCCCCTGCCTGCCGGGGCAGCCCAGCCAAGTGCACAGGAACCCCCAAGCCCCCAGCTGGTGCAGCCAAGAGCCGCAGCCCCATGGCCAGTAGCTCTCGGGCTCTGGGTGGGTCAGTGAAGCCGCTGGCCGCGGTGGCTGGCAGGCCCCCCGGTGGCCCTGGGCCAGGACCCCGAGTGGCCCCACGGGCTGCTCCTGGCGCTGGGGCCAAGGCTGGCCGGGGCACCGTCATGGGCACCAAGCAGGCGCTTCGGGCTGCTCACAGCCGCGTGCACCAGCTGGCAGTCAGCGGGGCCCCTGGCAGAGGCGGCCCCTCGTGGGGCTCCGTGGACTCAGACAGCGGCAATGGCAGTGGCGTGAATGTGGCGGAGGAGCAGCCACCTGCGGGCTCCGCCCTGCCGTCCCCCTACAGCAAGGTGACTGCGCCCAGGCGGCCCCAGCGCTATAGCAGTGGGCACGGCAGCGACAACAGCAGCGTGCTGAGCGGGGAGCTCCCGCCCGCCATGGGCCGCACTGCCCTCTTCTACCACAGCGGCGGCAGCAGCGGCTATGAGAGCATGATGCGGGACAGCGAGGCCACGGGCAGCGCGTCCTCGGCCCCCGACTCCACGAGCGAGAGCGGGGCTGCCTCCCCGGGCGCCCGCTCCCGCAGTCTCAAGTCCCCTAAGAAGAGGGCCACAGGTGGGTGCCACAGCCCGCTAGGTGGTAGATGCCTGGCAGATAGGTGCTGCCACCCCGGGCTGCTGCCCCCCTCTCCTGCAGCCCCTCCAACGTGGCACGGGATGCCGCGGTGGCCTCAGCACTGTCTTCACAGATGCCGGGTGTGGATGGCCCTCCAGCTTATAAGCCCACGAGAGAGGCATGCTCCTTGCAGGTTCCAGATGCGAGTATCCCTTGACCTCACAGATGTGCCTGGGGCTTCACTGTGTGCACAGCCCTCTACAGTGTACACTCATGCATAGCACTGCCCGTCTCTGACCCCCTGGCTACCCCAGGGCTGGTCCTCATCCTGGTCAGGGCAGCCTCACGCGGGGAACAGCTGGAGTCCTGGGGAGCCAGGCGAAGGCTGGTGTGAGCTGGGTCCTCTCACCCCTGAGTGTCCCGGCTGCCCGGAAATCAATGCCAGGGCTGCTCTGGGGAGACAGCAGCCTGGCCTCTCCCGGTCCTGGGGCCGTGGGGGCCGGGGCCGGGTATGAATGAGCTGGGTGGCATTTGGTGCTGCAGGGCTTTGTCCGTAGGGGTGGCTGGGTGGGACTTCAGGGGGCCCAGGGGGCCCAGCCTCTGCTCACCATGCGTGGTCCTCTATTCCAGGTCTGCAGCGGCGGCGGCTGATCCCAGCCCCGATGCCTGAGACCGCTGCCCTGGGCCGCAAGCCCACCCTGCCTGGGCAGTGGATAGACCTGCCCCCGCCGCTGGCCGGCTCTCTGAAGGAGCCCTTCGAGATCAAGGTGTATGAGATTGACGATGTGGCGCGTCTGCAGCGTCACCGCCTGCCCCCGCGGGAGGACCTGGCCCAGGTTGGGGCTAGGGGCTGGAGGCTGAGAGCCTGGGGTGGCAGAGTGGGCCCCCGGGCGCATGACCAGGCACTCCTGACCACCCTCTCCTCTTCTCCACAGCCCTCCCAGGAATTGAGGAAGGTAGGGTCCCGCCCTGTCCCGCCCCGAGCCAGCAGTGCCCCTGATGTCCCCCTTGGGCAGATGTGGTGGGAGGGGTCTGGTGGCCACCTGTGCCCGTGCTGGCGGGTGGAGGGAGGCCTGGGTGCTGGGTGTTCCCAGGGACAGAGCCCTGGTCTCCACACCTGAGCCCTGCCTGTCCCTCTGCCAGGGTCTGGTGTGTGTCAGCTCCAAGCTGCGGCTGGCCGAGCGCAGGCAGCAGCGGCTGCAGGAGGTCCAGGCCAAGCGAGACCACCTTTGTGAGGAGCTGGCCGAGACCCAGGGCCGGCTGATGGTGGAGCCCGGCCGCTGGCTGGAGCAGTGTGAGTGCCCCTGCCCTCTGCTCCCAGCCCCAGGTCCTGCTCCCTCATCTGCTGTATCCCCTGCCCTGCCACCTGCTCCTGTCTCTGCCTTCCAGCTGCTGTCATGCAAGAGGCAGTGGGCAGGAGGTCCCCCAGGGTGGGTGCCTTTCCTGGGACTTTGGGGAGCCTGGCTGCTGCCTGGGCCCTGTCCTGACCCTGTCCCGTCCCTCCCCAGTTGAGGTGGACCCGGAGCTGGAGCCCGAGTCGGCCGAGTACCTGGTGGCTCTGGAGCGTGCCACAGCCGCCCTGGAGCAGTGCGTGAACCTGTGCAAGGCCCATGTCATGATGGTCACCTGCTTTGACATCAGCGTCACCACCACCACCGCTGTGCCAGGGCCACAGGAGGTGGACGTCTGAGGCCGGGTGCTGAACAGGGGAGGGGATGTGCAGGGGCTGCGAGGACTGAATGTGGGATGGAGCGAGGATGTGGTGGGGCTGAGGGCGAGGACGGGGGTCTCAGAGAGGAGATGCAGCGTGGGAAGCGGAGGGCCGGCTGGCCAAGGATGGAGCCAGCAAGCGCGGGAACTGGAAGATGATCGCCACCTGGACAGCCACGCAAGTGCCTTTAACCTCGAGTTGGACTCTTCTCCTTTTTGCATTTGGTGCTACGGACTCAAGACACCAGCAGACGTGTGCTGGGCCCGGCTCGGCGGCTGTGCCCAGCTGGCTGTGTCCGCTTCGCCTTCCCCACAGTCAGCAGTCTGTGGCGGGACGGACCTGGGGTCCCGGCCCTTTGTCAGGATCAGGTTTCTTCTCCTTTGCAGTGGCTTCTCTGGGCAGAGCAGGCGCTGGCGGTGGGGTCATTGAGCGGGACGCTGTCCTTCTCTGAGGACGTGCTCCGTCCCGAGGACGCCGAGGGCCTGGGCGAAGGGCGGGCCGCGTGCACACGATGCCTTCTTCCACGGCAGGAATTCTTACCAAAACCGCAAGCAAAAAAATCCACAGCGAAACCAACCACCTATGCCAGAGACGGGGTTAGGGTTTTCTAAACGTCTGTTAGGTTCCTATTTTTATATCATTTTGCCTATGAACATGGAGTTTGCAGTGGGAGTTTGAAGACAAATGATCTATGTTTTTATGATTTTCTACGGAAGGGGTTTGGGGCTGGGCTCTTTGTGGGGGCGCCCTGCACAGGGTGGGTAACCCTGGGAAGTGCTCGTCCCCAAATGCAGATAAGGACGGGCTGCACCACAGGCCCGTGTTTTCTGGTGTTGCGTGTTTTCTGGGGCCTTTGTACAAACGTGTAGATAACATCTTGCTACAGTTTTTATTTGTGAATAAAAGAGTTGATCACATGGCTCCTGAGTTCCGGGGTGCCCCTAGGCCCTCGCCCAGGACTGGTGCCCTTGGTGCCCTCCCTCCGGGGGTCCCTGGGGCTGGGCAGGACAGCTGGGCTGGGCTGCATCTGAGGGACGCAAAGGCAAGGGCGCCCCACAGGGGCCACTGTGCAGGTGAGGGGCTCCAGGTTTCTCTCCAATCCTCATACCCTTTTCTGGGTGCTGCTAGGGTTTTGGGGTCCCAGGCTGGGGTGGTGTCCGCCGGCTCCCTTTCTCAGGGTGTGACATCTGGGGAGACGGAGGTGGGTGACGGGACCCCTGGGGAGGGCTGTGGTCTCTTCCTTTGTTCCCTGGCCACCTAGCTGGGAGACGGCCGTACCCTCTGGCACATCGGGGCCTAGGGCTGCAGACTGGCAGATGCCCTGCCCATGGGGCCAGCTCTTAAGGGGCCCGGTTCTCAGTCCGGGCCCCAGTGCTCATGGGACCCGCGGCAGGCACACAGGGGCTGAGTCCCCGCTGCCTAGATGCTCAGTGAGCCCCGTGGAATCAATTCTTGTCCCCCACGCCTGTTTCTTTGTCACCGCCCTCCCCAGCCTCTGCCTCGGGCCTGGCCAGAGCAGCCCCATGCTGCACCCCGTTTCCCTGGCCCAGTGCATGTGTCCTACTCACCCCGGCCCCTCCTGGGAGCTGAGTAGGCAGCTCCGTGTTTGGGACCCCTCCAGGGCCGGCTCAGCGGGGCATCCTTCCCAGGCTCTAGGCGGTACGTGTGCGCCCCACCCCCGCTACACCTTGTGTGGTCTCTGTCTCCCGCGGAGGCTGGGAAGGGGAAGGGGGCTCTGAGTCATTGGTTGTCACCCCCAGTGGCACAGAGGGCCCCATGGGCCTGGGGGCGCTGGCCGAAGAATGAATGCACGATGGATAGGTGGCTGTGTCGCCTTGCAAATCCTGTCCTGGATGCCTCAGATGGGGCAGGATGGGGGTCTGGGAGTCAGGACACAGGATGTCCAGGCCACGGGCATGCCCTCCAGCCTTGGGTGGGGGTCATGGGGCAGCTGGGGAGGTGGGGTCTAAGTCCCCCACCTCCAGAGACTTGGCTCCAGCAGGGCCCAGACTTGTGGGAAGGGTGAGATTGTTCTTAGCCAGCCAAGAACCACCCAAGCTGCTGTCTGCTGGAAGACTCCCCGGGGGGTGGCAGGGGGTGGCAGAGCTCAGGGCGGACAGGAGGTTCTCAGGAGGGACTGAGAAGCCGGCCTGGCATGTGGGCCTGCACACGGTGCGTGCGGGGCAGACCCTGGCCTGCCAGAGGTGCTGCTCTTGGGACCTGAACAGCTGGCCCGCGGAGATCTCAGGTTCTGAGCTCACACTGGCAGCAGGTCCGGCACTGTGTCCCCCGTGCGGTGTAGGGGGCAGTTCTCTTCCTTCTGCAAGGAGCCCTTCAGGTCCCTCCCTGTCCTGGGTCACCATCCCTCTGCCCTTGACCCTCACTGCTGTCCTGATGGGGCCTCTATGGTGCGAGCTTGGGGTGCCTGGCCTTGGGGTCCAGCTGGGTGGATCCTGATTCCCACAGCCTGGCGCCCCGGGACGGGTGGTGTCTGCTCTTCTGGACAAGGAATCTTCTGCCCCAGGCCTAGCCTGGCAGCCTTGGGTGTCCTTTCATCTGGTACATCAAAGCGCTCAGCCCTGTCATTACAGGCTGGGAACCAGCCCGAGTGCCAGAATACCCATTTTATGGATGGGAAAGCCGCAGCTGCCCAGGACCCAGCTCTTTGAATGAAGCCAGAGCCGGGGTGGGCCCTGTAATGCAGCTGCACGAGGTCTGTTTGCATCCTGTTTGTCAAACACTTGGGGAAACTGAGGCCCAGAGAGTGCAGGGGGTGCTCGAGCCCCCATTCCTGTGTGCTTACCAGAGACATTGGGGGCCTGCACGTGGGAGGGCCCCTGGGGACGCCAAGACCAGGAGGGTCTGAGGTAGAAGTGAGGGCCTTGGGGAGGGCAGGGGCCTGGCCCAGGACCCTGTGTCAGGGAGGCTGCAGGGACACGGCATGAGCAGCACTCTGGCAGCTCTCACAGGCTCGGAGGCAACCTGGCACTGGGCCACCTGCCCCCTCGGGCGAGGTGCCCACCTGACTCACCACGCCAGCATGTCCAGGCCTGCTCTGCCGCCTGGGCCACTCCAGCTGGCCCTGGAGTCATTCGGGGAGAAGGGGCTCCTGGGGCACAGGGGGAGGGGCTGCTGAACCCCCTGCAGGGCTCTGGAGCTGCCTGCCACCCCGGCTGGGAGAGAGCATTTGGCTCCCGGGCCCTGCCGTCCTGCTGGCCCTGAGGCCACTGTCCCAGAGGGCAAGGGGGCTGCTCTTCAGCCAGGACCAGCCTCAGCAGGCAGCAAGAGCTGGGGCCAGTGGGGCTTTGGGGGCCACGGGAGCAGCAAGCGCTTGGGCCTTGAGGGCCCTGCTGCAGCAGGAGTGGTGGCTGGGGCAGCAGCAAGGGCTGCTGTGGTGACCGTGATGGTGGGCAGGGCATGGTGGTGACGGCCAGGCTGGCATGGTGGCACTGGAGGTCCTGGGCCTGGAGACAGCGCACTGCGCCCTGCAGCCTGGCTCCCAGCACAGGTCTGTTCCCTTCTGCCCGCGGCTGAGCCGGGTTCCCAGGGAGGGTCACAGACCAAGAGCCAAGGCTGCTGCCCCGGATGCCTTCCTGGAGCCTGGGGTGGGCAGCCTTACGTCCTCTCTGCCAGTGTCACCGTCTCCTGGGGCTTCCCTGTCCCCAGCCTGGCTGCCTCTGGTGCACAGAGCTCTGGGCTCCCTGGAGTTGCCCTGGCCTCCCTGGCCCGTGTCCCTGGTGGTCACTGCCCGCCCCCGCCCATCTGGGAGGTACAAGGTGGGGTACAGACCCTGCTGGGTGCTCCTCTCCTGGGACCCGAGTGTCTGCCCGGGGTGCGATCCACTCCAGCAAACAGGAAGCTGGAGGGAGACGTCGCCCTTCTGACCTTTTCCACACAGGAAGCCTGGAGGCTGGGAGGGGGGGAGGTGTCCCCAGCAGCCAAGGAGCAACTTCCTGTGGGCAGGGCCTCCAGGGTGGACTCAGAAGTGGGGGGCCAGGAGAGGCCCAGTCAGAACCCCACAGTGTAGGTCCAGGCACCCCAAGGCCTGTGTCTGGGGCCTGTCTCCCTCAGGAGCACAGGCAGCAGTCATGGGATCTCGGCAGGGAGCAGGGAGGCCGGGCACAGGGGTGATCTGGGGGCATCTGTGGTCCTGGGGCCTCAGGAGGGGCGGGCAGGGCAGGGACTGGGTCCTTCCTGTGACTCCCCATCCTAGCCCACCTGCAGCCAGGAAGCCAGAGGGTCCCCCATCCCGGTGCCCATCTAAGAGTGGACCTGTACTCCAGCCACGTTACACTTGGCCTTTTGCTAGACTGTGTGTATTTCAGTCATCTTTTAAAAAACCGACTTTATAGCAAGGGAGTGGCTTGTGACTCTTCCTAGAGTGTGTGAGGGAGGCCTCGGGTTCCATCCTCGGCACTGCAAAACCCAAACCAAAACAAAACAGCTGAAGGGAGCCCTAGTGCCCACTGCCTCAGTTTCCCCTCCAATCTGTTTGGCCCAGGAGCCCTCCCAGGATGCCACAGGAGGAATGGGGGCGCAGTTCACCTCCAGCAGGGTGGAGCAGTGGCCTATGTGGCTTGGAATTTGTCTCCTCCCACTGCTGACTGTTCAGTCCTTGCTCGAGCCAGTGTAAGCAGACAGAGGCGGGTTGGAATTCTGCTCCCGGCTCTCTCCAGCCACTCGTGGTTTTTAACTGAACTTCTCCGCCTCTGGGCCCTGGTGCCCTAGAAGTTTGTCTGCTTTGCTTCTCTGGCCCCCGCCTGCCTCTCCGGGGTGAGCAGCGCTGTCTGGTCCCCACACGGTGCTCAGCAGGTTGCCCTTGACGTCCGGAGCCCGCAGGCCTGGCCGTCTTGGCTGGGTCTCCACCCCCTGAAGCATGGTCCTGAGGGTCCTGAGCTGAGTCACCCGGGGCCCAATGTGTCAGAGCAGGCAACATAGAACTTCCTTGCCCCTCTCGTCTGGGCTTTGGGGTGGAGGGAGCTCCTGGGAGTGGGGACCCTTCCTCCGTGGTCCCTGGGCCCAACCGACCCTGTGCCAGAGACCTTGCCCTGCCCGCAGCTGGGCTGGTGCCTTCCCTGACAGCTGGCCAGTGATGCCTGGCCCAGTGGACCCAGTGGCCCAGAGGGGGGCTCGAAGTGGGCAGGGCAATGGCAGAGTAATTGCTGGTGTGGCTGTGTCCTCACTAGCCCCGGGGCTGGAGAGGGAGTGGTGACTCCCTGAGGACCCACAGGGCGGCACCAGGTGAGGTCACCCCAGAGCTGCCTTTCACGCTGTGTCACCATCACCATGGGAGAGCGAGGTCAGACAGGACGGGTGCCTGGGCACCAGGCCTTCTGTAGACCAGGCCGGGCCCCACTTCCCACTTGGGGAAACCACCCCTCTGGGAGAAAGCCCACTGCCCACAGAGGACCCTCGTCAGGGACCCTGCATAGCTGGGCTGGCAGGGACCACGGATTCTCGGGGACACCAGGTGTTGGGCTTGGGACGCCCACTGCATCTACAGGTCCTCCCCACCTCTGCCTTGATTTCCCTTCTTGTGGAAGAAGCAGCTGCCTGCCTGTGCCTCGTCATCCCTGCCACTAGATGTGGGGCCCTGTGGTCCGGAATAAATCTCTCCCTTCCTCCAGCACAGTGAGGACAGGCTGTATTTCTCACAGCCTCAGTGGCTGTCCTGGGGAGCCGGTCCGCCTGGCAGGGGGTGAAATCCCACGCTCGCGCTGATTTGTGGGCCTGGCTGTGCAGCTCCCGCTCCTGGCATCTTTACGAGCAGAGGAGCCTGGGCTGGGAGCGGGACAGGCTGGTGTGATCTATGGCCCTGGCTACCCCTGCATGCTGCCCACAGTTCTTGCCTGTGTCCTGGGCCAGGCCTGGGTCAGCTCTGATCTGGGCTCAGGCTGAGGACCCAAAGGTGCTGGCCCCA